TCTCCTTCTCCCTCCTCTCTATCTCCCTCCATCTCTCTATCTCTCTCTACTTCTCTCTCTCCCCCTCTCTCTCTCTCTTTTCCTCTCCCCCTCTCTCTCTCTCTCTCTCCTGACAGCCTGTCAGTATCTCATGCAGTTCACTGATCCAGTAATGAGTGACCCGACAGTGAAGAATAAACATATGTATAACTAGTTTAGCTAGTTTCAGAGGTAGATGAAATAGCTAAGTGTGTTAGGTCTAACTCTTAGTGTGTGTGTGCGCTCACCGGTCCGTCACAGCGGGTGGAGCTGCAGGATTTCTGCTTCACACACGTTGCATACCGCTATTTTATTGTCATTTTCGGACACCTTAAAATACTGCCAGACTGGTGAAGCCATTTTGGCGAGCTTGTTTTGCCGCCCAGAGTATTTTACGTCATGTGAAATCGATCGGAGCATCCCTAAAAAAATACATGTTCTTTGTTGAATAGTGACAAATCACAGTTTAAATAAACGTTTCTGCCATGACATGAATAACAATGTAGATGTAAGACTACATACAAGTCACATTTTTAAAAGATTTTGTTCTCAAAAGACAAAAATCATAGAATGGCCGTCGTTCATTTCTAGTACCAATATCAGCCTTGGATAAAAATCTAATAAAAAAAATCGAATTCAAAAGCATTTTTAGATAGATAGATAGATAGGAAATGTTTGCGTTGCAACAGCATAAAAAACATGGCAATGTACATGAGAGAAATTAAAACACAAGAAATAAACAAAATATTTCAGAAATAGCCTACATTTCCCTCTCGCCCTCTGTGTGTATCTGCATGCTAATGTTATTTAATGTTAAAAAAGTGAGAACTGGATCTAATTCCTTATTTTCCACCTCAGCTTTATGTGTGTATGTGTGTGTGTGTGTGTGTGTGTGTGGTGTGTGTGTGTGTGTGTGTGTGTGTGTGTGTGTGTGGTGTGTGTGTGTGTGTGTGTGTGTGTGTGTGTGTGTTGTGCTGTGTGTGTGTGTGTGGTGGTGTGTGTGTGTGTGTGTGTGTGTGTAGCTGGTGTTGTGATGTGAGCATGTGAGAATGTGAGATGTTTCTGACCCAGTCTCTCTCCTGTCTCCAGACTGGCCAGTGCAGCGGGCTCTGGTCCCAGCCTGAGCAGCCGACCCAGGCACATGTCCTCTCCTGCCCTGCACTATTATTACAGCAACGCCAGGAAGAAGCTCTCTGGCTCAGGGTTACTTAAATTTCACTTAATTTTAAACTCACATACAGTAGAATCCCATTAGTTCCTTCTATGGTCCCCGTTAGTTCCCTTTCTGTCTCCAAATGTGTCTGACTTGCTGTAAAATGTCACATGAAAACAGGCGTGCTTGCAGGGATGCTGATGATTTTCATTTGATTTGACGTTCTTTAGGGAACAAATGTTTGGAGTTTGCATAATACACACAAATGGGCTTTTAAAATGAAACTCATCTCAAAGTCATTTTTCAAAAACATAATTCATGTAATGCATTTAAAGGTGGGGTAGGTCATTTTGGAGAAACCAGCTCGAGTGCGCTAGAATTTGAAAATACACAGCCGGAAAAAATCTGCCACTTCCTCACAGAGCCCCTCCTCCAACACACACAAACGCGCATATGACCAATGAGGGCACGAGATAAGTTTGTGCACAGATGGAAGGCTGACAGGCAGGTAGGCCATCCAGTTACTTTAGCCGGGCCGGCTAAAATGATTGGTCGTGCTTTTTACAGCGCCACGGCTTCCACAGATGAGATTTTTTTTTAATGGATTTGTTGTCAAAGCACTTCAGATATTCATTGCTATCGGGATGTTAAGAGCATTCCATGGAATATAACAAAAAGTGTATCTCGAGCCGGTTTCTCAAACTTACCTACCCCACCTTTAACTCTAGCCATTTGATGAGGTTTATTTTCACCAGGTGTCATATACACAAACGTTTGCATTTAATTCTCATTTGTACTAACGCTTATGGCCTAAACATCCCTGTTGCTTCATTAGATCTCCTAGTTCCATACTTCATCCACTCTCCCTTAACCAGAAAAAAGGAAATGTGTGTGTGTGTGTGTGTGTGTGTGTGTGTGTGTGTGTGTGTGTGTGTGTGTGTGTGTGTGTGTGTGTGTGTGTGTGTGTGTGTGTGTGTGTGTGTGTGTGTGTGTGTGGTGTGTGTGTGAATGTTGCTAACCTGTGTGCAGTTGTAAGTGTTTCCCATTACTTCATGTGTTTTGTGTTAACTAAAATCTAAATAATTGGTGGTGCTGGCCTCCCGTAGACCGATGCATGTTAGAGATATAGAAACTTTATTAACTTCACTAATTCAACATTATAACAGTGTCAAAGAACTTTGGTCAATACTCTAATCTTCATTAAGCTGGCTACAGATTCATAATCATTTGAATGCTGCACTGCATTAAGCATCTCATTTGGATTTAAAATGTCCTAAAACACGAAATAAAACATAATCTTCCTGGTCGAATGTACTTATTGTAAGTCGCTTTGGACAAAAGCGTCAGCTAAATGCAATGTAATGTAATAATCTACATACACAGCGATTCGGCTGCAAAAACCTTGTCATTTCAGTAATGATGTTTTTCAACGTGTTTTCAGTCACAAAAACACGCTTAAAAAAATGCATTGTCATAACTTTTGCTTCTGACTGTATTTGTACACATCATTTTGGGATGTACTGTAGTGCTCATAAATGACTTGCTTTTATCCCTTTCCTTATGAAAATGTGAAGATTCTTTTGGTGCACATTGGTTTTCATGTGTGAGAATAACCCATGCAAACTACATAGTCAATGATATCCAATCTGTTTTTCCTTAATTCTGACCATTTCGGGCACTGACACAGCCAAGCGATGTGTGTTTTACTGTTTTACTAACTCCTCCCGCTGCTGCTTTAGGTTTGTTGCCTGACTTGGGATAACCTGAAAGGAAACTCGGGTGCCTTGCTTCTATTACAACATCAGTATTTTCAAATGTATCCACAGGGTGGATCAGATTCTGGGAAAAGGCCAGATTCCCGTGGATAAGAAGGTGCGGGACAAACTGAATCCAGATGGAGAGTCGCTGGAGGGCATGAGCATGCTGGGACGGGTGTGTAAGGTGGAGAGACAGGTGAGTCCAACAAATAATCTTACAGGAAAAGCTACATCAGCACTGTAGCGGCTGATTCATAGGAAATCAAACTGAAAATGTAACTCAAAGTGAAACTGCCACTGGGGCACCAGATAGCAAAACTTCCACAGGTAAACATCCAAGTCCAGGCAAGAACGTAGTTTCGTATATTTATTTCCAATCCAGTACAATGAACGGATTTACGTGAATTCTTGCCCTGCAGCCTTTTCTGTGACTCACGCAATGTGTACAAATGTGTTCCTCTTCAATTTAAAATTTGCGACATCGTCCTATTTCAAGGTCATGGTCACTGACTCTTACCTAAAAACTGTACCTGTATGTTTTGAGATATCCTGTTGTATGGATATCACAGTGCAGGGATTGATAACAGAGGAGTTTTACACTTGTCTGCTTCTATTTCACTCCTGGATAGATGCTTACTGCATTGTGTTGCTCCAGTACTTTTATTCTTTGCAATTGACAAGAAAGTTGAATCAAATCCAATCTAACCTGTGCTGATTTGATTTGTGTCTCTCTCTGTTTTTCTCTACTCTCTTGCTCTCCTTTTTCTTGTTCCAAGGTGACTTCCATTGAGTCAAAGCTGGACTCTTTGTTGGATGTTTACCGCCAGGTCCTCCAGAAAGGCCCCACAGCCCTCACTCTCTCCTCCCTGCCGCTGTTTGAGCTGGACAACCACCAGCACCTCAACTCCGACTACCAGACCTCCGTCATCAGACCCTCTTCTCCCCAGGGGGGGAATCTTGTTGGAGGCGGAGGAGAAAACCGTGGAGGATTACGCCGTTCTCTCAGCGCCAACCCCAGAGGCCTGCGTCTCATCCTGGCTCCTTCCGATGACGATGGCCTCCCGGACTCAGCCCCTCCATCCTACCCCCCGTCCACAGCCTCTCTCTCCCCGTCCCCCCTGCTGCCTCCTGATAGCCCCTATCCAACCTTGGTCACCCCCAATGGTACCTCCAAAAGAGCACACTTCCCTGACCTGCCTCCTCCACCTCCATCCTCAGGGGGCTTCACCCTCCGTCTGCCCCCCCTGCTGCATCCCTCCCACCTCCGATGCTCCACCGACCCTCTCCCAGATGAAATGACAGACGTGCTGCCGCTGGATGAGGGCAGTCTGGGCCCATCCGTGGTTCTGGGGTCCAGTGTGGATGCTGAGCAGGAAGGGGACGCTGGTGCGGGGGTGCAGTCACAGGAGGGGGTCTGGAGGAGGAACATGAGCCTGGAGGTCAACCCCCTGCTGCTGCTCTCATCGAGCCCAGACGAGAGGCCTTCAGATTGGGGAGGCTCCCTCTCTGTGCACAACCTCAGCCAGCCTTTGAGCAACCATAACCCCGGTCTGTCTTCCGCGCTCAACAACAGCAACGGTAGCAGCAACGGTAGCAGACACGGTAACGCCCACGCTGACCTCAGCAACTGGGATGGAACAGAACTCTTAATTAGTGAGTGCGAGATAGAGCCAGCTGAAGAACATTTCAACTTGTTGTCCGAGGAACCGGACCCCTCAGACCTCTTACAGACTGCGGAGGAGGAGGCTCCTCCCCCAGAGTTCCTCAGTCAGTCGCCACACATACACCTGGCATAACCACACACACACACACACACACACACACACACACACACACACACACACACACACACACACACACACACACACACACACACACACACACACACACACACACACACGCATACTGTATGTACACATCATTTTAAGGAAATGTACACGAATACAAACTTTCCTTGAAGATACATTGTTTTGGTCTTTATCTAAGGATATTTGGAGATGTAACTTTTTACAAAAACAGATTGTTCATATACAATGACATCAATACAAAAAAGTTGATCAAATTGATGTTTGTTTTAAATAAAGACCCAGGAAAGATAGTTAACTGTGATTTCTGAGCCTGCAGTCTGACACCTTTTAAACTAATGTTAGAAGCAAATACAAATAATTTGTTTACAGCAGTCCTTCATATTAACTCAAAGGAAAATACTGTATGATTGTAAGCCAACATGGGTGCATATAACAACAATCAATTGTCTAGTTGAACCTCAAACATGCCACAGTTACATGCCCTCACATACAACCACTCTATCACACACACAAAAACACACCGACACATGCAACCATCAACCACAATCACCAGTAACTCCAGCTAACTTGACAAAGAGCTGTGACTGACTTTATACTTTTTTGTTTTCATACAAGTGCTTGTATTCAGAGACTTTCTCGAAAAGGAGTGTCACTCACTCTCCTTATTCAATGTCTGTCTTTGGCAATGTGAAATGTCATCTGTTACTTTCATACATATCACTGCATGGACTGTTTCCAAAAAAAATAATGAATGAAATTAGAACTATAGGTGGGTATGATGGGAATATCTGAAATATAAAAAGAGTTCAAAGCATCCTCAGCATGTATTTAGACCCAAAGCTCCCGTTCTGTTTCTACAACCACAGAAATATTAGTTAATGTTTATCTGGCTGTTTAGTTTTGTCTTTTAGATAGTTGTCAGTACATTTGGATCGGGCAAACCTACTTGGAGAAGATGTCTTATCAGCAATCGGTAAAGACAAAGTGCTAGACTATGTCTGAATAGTGAATTGCAGTATAGGTTTATCAAGCTGAGCATGAGATGCTGCATGTCTAAGCTGTTGCAATAAGAGCAGTTACACAACGCTGGTGGCCTGGATGTCCTTTTGCATGTTAATGCAACGTTATGTAGTTATTGTTTGTTTTTTATTTAGCCCCCCCACACACAACTGTTGGACAGCTTTTAACTTCACAAGTGCAAGTCCTGATTGCACGGCTAACGGCTAACTTGCCGATAGCTGCAATTGTTAGTTAGTTAGCAGTTTTTAGTTGCCCTAGCAGAAGGTAAAGCTTTACATCAGGAAACTCCTTAAATCATAGTTAGTCGAGGGAAATCAGAAAACATTTAGTCAATTTAATATGACCCAGTTCCACTAAAATCAACTTAGTGCCATGAAGCCTTATGCACTTCTCCTGGGAGAATGAATGAAGCAATCACCTAAGTGATGTAGTTAAAGAACATTCTCCCTATTACACCTTTAAAATGATTTGTAAGCTTTTACTTTAAGGACAAATAGCTAATGTTGCTTTAAAGCAATGTTTCCTCAAAATCCCAATCACTAGAGTGTGAACAAAGACTGCCATATGAACATTATATATCCTAATTTGAAGTCATTTAAATGTAGTTATATGAATAACCCACTTACAATGACCTTTTAGAACAAACATACAACCTCTTTTAATTTGTTTTGTTGACAAACCCTGTCTTTTTACTGGGTGCTGTTTGCACCTTGTGCATCAATAATGATTAGAGGCTGCTGGACTAAACATATTCCCTCCTCCCAGTCCAGGCTGGCACAGTAGGGGTAGTGAGGAGTTACAGGGCCACATGTACAATGCACAGACTCCACTTATAACATATCAGGTTATTTTGGATTCACCTGAGAAACCCATGATAACAATGTACTGTACATGCACTGTTGTTGATCCAGTATGCGTGTTGTTACTTGATCCATGTGTCCCTTCTGCTGCTGACAAAAATGTGATGTATTCAAATTGTAAATCAGGAGCGAGGGTGGATGAGATGAGAAAGATTTGCCATATTATCTTAATACAAAATGCTTATAGATATTTTCCGTGACTCCTGCATTTTCAACATTCAGCTGGTGCACTTATTCAGAGGAATGTTTTAAGGAAACTTCAGCAGGATACTGACGAAGCAAGACAGAATTGAATCTGAGATTGAGATTAAAATGTGTTTGTTGTGTGGCTGCTTAAAAGTTGTCTGCTGCCCCCCCTGAAAAATATGTTTAGTTTACCACCATTTTGTATGTGCATGTACTTCCTCCTCATCACATCAATCATAATTACAATACTTAACCAATTAGGGTTATTATGATACACTTAAAAACACTCAAGTGCACATATGTAGGTGCAGTAAGTCGATATTCAGATTGTTTTCACTGGCAGGTTAAAGGAGGATGAGGCGTTGCAAGTTTCCTAAATGACACTGTCCTAACACTACAATTCAATGCCATCCTGCTTGTTGACTGCTATTGAATCAGAATTATGCAGAAAAACTATGTCCGCCATCTTAATTTTTGTTAGCCATTTTGATTTGTTTTTGCATGTTTACCTCTTAGGGGTTTGCCGTCACAGCAGTCTTAAAAATGTATTTTAATGTGTTAATGACAACCTTGATTCATCATTGTTTTTTTCAGTTATTTTCCCTTTGTGTTAAATGGTGAGTAAGTGCATCGCTTAGCAAATTAATATTCTGTAGTAGAATATAACAAGTATTATCTCCTAACAAATTCAAATTGTAAACACTTGATTTTGAAATATTCTACAGCCCATGCAGAGTTTTTTTCTGGTATGATGAAATATATTATCAACGTGAAAGCACAGCTGTTTTTGAAGAGCCTGAAAATGTGACATGGTAGTTTAAGGCTTAATATTGGAATAGATTATTTTGTAGTTATTGATTGAGCTTTGCTACATATGAAAAGAGGCCAATAAGAACTGTCTGTTACTTTGAAACGAGATGTCAAACACAAGGAAAGCCCATGGAGTGTTCCTGTCATACAACATGCTCAGTTTTGCTATCTGTAAATTGCTTAAGGGGGCCTTTCTTGCATATGAAAAGTTTTTTTTTTTTCACGAGGCTATAAAGGTCCTGTCCACAGACTTTAAATGGCTTTGATGGCTAATAATACAATTTCTCTACTGCTTGAACAGTAATGTATTACACAACTGGGCCTTAAAGCTTGATAATGTTAACATTTGTATTTCTTTGAAATTAATTTATTAAAGTGCACATTATGTTCTCTCTTGATGAGAAATGCAAAAATAATTTTATTATTCTATAATAAAGTACAAATCAACTAAACAGTTTTGTTTGTGTCTTTGATTTACTGTTCCGATCAACATTTAAACAAAAAAAGTCAAGAAAGTAACACATGATGGTCATGATGCCTTTTTGGAATAAGGATTGTATATTCAGGGTGGTGAACAATGGGTAAAAGTTAAAGCATCTATTAATATTTTCGCAAATTCCTCCACCTTTCTGTGCTACATATCAACATGACAAGTGTACAATTATTAACTAAATTCAGTGTTAATAAATTAAATATTTGTCAAAATCTTATCAATTTTCATAGTTACTTTTGGTACTTTAAGTATATTTTGATGCAAATGTATTTGTACTTTTACTTGAGTAACCTTTGAATACAGGACTTTTACTTGAAACAGAGTATTCCTACACTCTGGTACTTCTACTTTTATTTAAGTTCAAGATCTGAGTACTTCTCCAACTGTTGATAAGTTCAATATTTATCAAAATCTCTCCACTAAAAAAACGTGGAAGTATAAACTCACAGAGCTTACTTGAAGGCGGCATTCTTGATTGACAGCTAATTGTGACCATATTGTTTGTGACGCAGTGAGTTAGCAGCATGTATGTATCGTTAGCAGGTGGAGAGCCAAATTCAAAATGGCCGATTGGGAAGATGAGTACAACGTGGATGGCGTTGCTATTCAAAAACAAGCCACAACATCAGCTCCAACTGAGTGGAAACCGTACCGCGATGACATTCAGAAACAAAGTGTATATTTCGGTGTGAGAAATGGAACCCGGTCTGCAGCCTCCAGAGATTGGCAAGCGGACCGTGGCGACCAGGAATCCGAATATAGAAGTCGTCGAGGCGGGGGGGAAGGTCGATCGTTTCCCCGGAGCTCCGGAGGCCCAGGACGGGGAACCTTTGGCGATGAAAAGTCGGACTCTTCACAGCCTGTGACTTTCGCCGTGGAAAATAGTTTAGTTGGCAGGATAATAGGTATGCTTTTAAAACAGTTATTCCAGTTTTAAATTGTGCTATAAATCTTTGGAACCTATGCTAAATCACTAGCTATGCTAAATCAGCGGACTTCAGTTGGTGTCAAACTGTTGACGTTTGAGCAAATTGGTGAGGGACTGTACTCCATTTTCACAGCATGTCAATGTACTTTAATTGACATGTTATATTTCCATAGCAGTACATTCACTTCAAAATGTTTTTATTTCATCCGTTGGAGCTAAATGCTACTGTTAGCTATCTTAGCCTAGGCCAAGTTAGCGTTGCTAGGCTAAGCAGCCACATGGCATTGGTTGCGTAATAGTCATTCTGCACAGATTCAGGAACGTGTGTGTGGGTATGATCTGTAACAATGCGTTAGTGTAGTTTATGTTGCATCTCTTTCCCCTGCTGTACTTAAAAGTGTGTAGATATGTTTGGTTAGACATTAAACACATTTTAATCTTGTTAAAGGTAAAGGAGGAGCCAAAATCCGTGAACTTGAAGAGAGCACTGGTGCAAGGATTAAGGCAAGTTGGGTGACGTTTTCCATGAAAATGTCGATTTATTTTTATACTACTGGGTAGCTTTAACATATAATAATGTATTATTGGTTTGTATTAATTGTAATAGTCCTTTATGCTATATAATACAGTATAAATAATCTAAATCCTCAAAGTAGCTACTAATTAAATTGGTAAAATACATGTAGTGGTCTAAAAGGTAAAACATTTGCCTCCAAAATGTAGCAGAGTATCACAATGTGAGACTGACTGACAATTTATAATTTGTTAGGGGAGTTTTGGGAGTCATTGCAGAGCCTTGGTCAGGGCATGTTTAGGAAAGAGCTGCATGGATTGATCAAGTTGCCGATTTACATTGTAAGCCATCAATTTCAGTAAACAATAAGTCAAAATTGCTTGATTCCAGCTTCTTAAATGTCAATATTTTCTGGTGTCTCTTGCCCTATGACAGTAATGTAAGCCACTTTAAATTGTGGACAGAACAAGTAATATGAGGTCCTTTTGGGCTTTGAGAAACACTGATTGACATGTTCACCTTTTTGACATAGAGACCAAATGCTAGTTAATCTAGATTAATAATCATCAGATTATTTGACCCTGGTAAAAAAAAATCATTATTTGCAGCGCTAGTATAGGATGTTAGATATATTCCCTTTATCTCTGCAGTTTTTTGTATTCACTTTTTACATTATAGGTAAACAAAGGGGACTATGAAGGTGAGGTGGTCCTCATGGGGTCCTCTGAAGCCCAGCAGAAGGCCAAGGAGATGATTGAAGAGCTGGTGTCAGATAGCAACTCTCAAAATGGTAATTTTTCTGAAAACTATTTATCATGAAAGCATTCGATTAGGTGCAAAACATCCTTCCGCAAGTCTCATCCCATAGATGTTGTCAAATGTGACTCTTTGTCCTCTGAATGTCATTTTTCTGCATGTGAAAACATTCTAGATTTGTATTTAGCAGGGCCACATTAAATGTTCAAACGGGTAGGATATTAAGACAAATATGGGACCAGGATGGTTTACAAAATGTCACCACTAAGTGTCACATATAGCAGCCCATACAGTGTGGAATATATCCCCCCCAGCTTTCTTACACTTTGTCTCTGCACAGCCTCCGGAGGCCCAGGACGGGGAGCCTTTGGCGATGAAAAGTCAGACTCTTCACAGCCTGTGATTTTCACCGTGGAAAATGGTTTAGTTGGCAGGATAATAGGTATGCTTTTAAAACAGTTAATCCAGTTTTAAATGGTGCTATAAACGTTGGAACCTATGCTAAATTGTATTGTTAGCTATTCTAAATCACTAGCTATGCTAAATCAGCGGACTTCAGTTGTTGTCAAGCTGTTAGACGTTAGAGCAAATTGGTGAGGGACTGTACTCCATTTTCACAGCCTGTGAATGTCAATGTACTTTAATTGACATGTTATATTTCCAAAGCAGTACATTCACTTCAAAATGTTTTTATTTCATCCATTGGAGCTAAATGCTACTGTTGGCTATCTACATTAGCCTATGCCAAGTTAACATTAGTTAGGCTAAGCAGTCACATGGCATTGGTTGTGTGATCCCCATTCTGCAAAGATTCAGGAACATGTGTGTGGGTATGATCTGTAACATTGCGTTATATCTTGTTAAAGGTAAAGGAGGAGCCAAAATCCGTGAACTTGAAGAGAGCACTGGTGCAAGGATTAAGGCAAGTTCAGTGTCGTTAGTGTCAAGCTAATGATGTTAGCGCACATCCATGAAAATGTGGATTTATTTTTATACTACTGGATAGCTTTAACCTATAATAATGTATTATTGGTTTGTATTAATAATCTAAATCCTCAAAGTAGCTTCTAATTAAATCGGTAAAATACATGTAGTGGTCTAAAAGTATCACAATGTGAAAACGGACTGACTATAGAGTGGCGAAGTCCCTCCCCTTCCAGTGGACCTCCATGGGACCTTATTTCGGAAAAAATATGTATTGAAGTCAATGGAGAGAGAAAGATTATCTTTCAATCCCGTTTGAATTGTGCCACGAATTACACATTTTCTTTGCCAATTTAAAAGATAATTTTGCAAGTCAAAAAAAAAAAAAGTGTCGTAAAACTGAAGTAACACTTTTTTTCTTTCTGTGAAACTCTCAATGAACTACATCTCTGGTCTCGCAGACTCTCACACCAACACACGTCACCAAGATGGCCGTCACTACTGTCTTGCTAAACAAGGGATTGACTACCCTCACTATCTATCACCACAATGAAACACGTCCAGAAGAATGTCATGCAAAGCTGCCTGCCTTCCTTTGATTCTCTCTGAACTGCCTGATCTTTTTTATGTTTAATGTCAACCATTTGTGCAGATAGCATGAAGTACAAAAGATCGCAGATGCTAATGTAGCGTTAGCATTTCTCCCCCGGGCTTAAATGGTGTATTATACAGGGTTCGTACGGGTGCTTGAAATCCTTGAAAATGCTTGAAATTTGACGTGGTGTTTTCAAGGTTGGGAAAGTGCTTGAATTTTGGGAATGGTGCTTGAAAATGTAAATGCTTTACTTTTACAATAAATTGCTGTCTGACTGAATAGTTCGCTTTTTAGATTAAAAGAAAATAATTGCTTCGCTTCTAAAACAGCTCCGCTGCGGCCTTCCCGCGCTATGCGCGCGATCTGCAAGTGTTTGTGTTACGTGTGACCTGGGCATTCTGATGAGTGTGATAGATGACTGTGTGCCAGGAGGTTGCCGTTTCAACGAGCGTTGGCTAGCAGAAGACAAATACAAGCCATGGCTAAGACGAGGGTCAAGCCCACGAGTAGCCTCCTGCAAAGTTTGCAAAAGTAACGATGGGAGAGTCTGCGCTGACGAGCCACATGAAAGGTACGCCGTAGTAGAGCATTTTAGATTAGGCTAACGTTGCATGTTACGTTTGTTTAAGCTAACGTTAGCAAGCTGAATAGCGAACTCGATTGAGGGATAATAATAATTTCAGAGGAGCGTAACCTATGTTATGTGCGTTACAGTCGCCATCGTGGTGTTCAGAGGATGAAGCACTCACGGCATTTTGTGTTATAGTCACGAAATATAATCTATTGATTCGACACAGAGCGATTTTGAAAGCAATGTATTTCTACTGGTAGTATGTTTCGTGCCTAAACCAAATGTGACTTGCTCTATCGAAATCAGTCACATTGACCCGAAGACACATTTTCGTTTGTATTACTGGTCTGGGGGAAGCTCGTGTGTGTGCGTTTGTGTACCGGGGAAACACCGGCTGTTGTTATGCTTGCTGTGATGTTACATTAGTCCGTTCTCTGCTTGTAATTATGCCGAAGCTTCAAAGTTGTATTTATCATCTGAATTTGCCGAAACAAGTTTAATATTCTGAAAGCCAAGACTTTGTTTATATGAAAACAGATGAAAACAAACTGTCTTTTATATAAAATTGAAGTATTATACAAGTAAAACTACATGTTGCTTTAATCCCATGTAATTGTAGAATGAACACAGTCTTCCTTTGAAGATGTATAAGTCGGGTGTCTTGAGTAGCA